GATCGGCAGCCCGACGGACATGCCAGTCGATTCGAAGCCCCTTTTCAGAACGAGATGGGGCAGTCACCCGCCGCAGGCATGGAAGTGGTGAGCATGGCTACCACCTGCGCCAGGCCAAAAACCTCCTCGAGGACACGAAACACAAGCGAGGGCAACCATCCGCCAAGAAGGGCCCCGACTGGGTCAGTCTGGATGTGTCCGATGCAGAGAACCTTCCGCCTCCGCCTCCTGCCGGCGAGGCAGGGCGCCGCGCCCGTGCCGCATTCCACGGCCTGGCGGGCGAGGAGGACATACAGCTAGACAAAACCGACGAGCAACGGGATGAAGATGTGGAAAAGCAAGCCGAGGTGATGCTTCGTAAAGGCTCTCCTGGGCCGATCCCCCCAGGTGTGATATCGGACGAACTTCCTCAAGCGTGCATGTCGAAGTACATATGTCTCTGCCGTGTTCCGACTCCACTCAAGAAGGAGCAGATCTCGATCAGCGCGTACAAGCTGAGGAAGAAGGACACGGGAGAGACAGCTCACATCGGGCTTGAACGCGCAGAGAAGGGCGAATATGGCGCCCCGCTCTTAGAAGACGAAGACGACGGGGCACGACGTGCCATCCCATTTGAGTTGGCACGGCAGCTGGAAGAACATCGCGACACTGGCCCAGAGACCTTCGAAGACCCAGAGAAGAGAGGCAGTGGATACGAGAAGCGAACGTTTGAGTGGGCGCTGGGCTTGGTCGGCGACCCATTGCTCGAGTTCCTGCGAGGCTTGAATGCTGAAAACGGAGCAAAGGCTCGACGTTTTATTGCGTGCCGTTTTTAACGCAGTCGAGCCGCGCTGCCTCCGATCGCCCGAGTTCCGCTGTGTCCCGATGCCAAAAAAATCGTACACTAGCGTGGTATTCGGGTGTGGACGTGAAAGAAGCTGGACGCATTGTCTCGCTCATAGTAATTTTTGCGATGCACAGCGCAGCCCGCGTCCGCAGGGGGATGGATCGAGGCGCCCGTCATAGTCAAGATGCTGGATGACGAGGGCCACGATATAGTGCGGGCGCGTTTCATGCACGCCCTCGCCCAACTGCCTCTCGACACGATCCAGATCGTTAGCGTGAACGCGTCGGACGCCGACACCGGCCCAAACGCTGAACCCGACGATTGGGGCGATAGCTCCGTGCGCCAACCAACAGGGGACGACCATGTCGAAAGAGGAGTTCCCGCGGCGGCGCCAATGGCCAGAGCGCCGTTGATGTCCCGCACCTGCAAGGGCCATTCCGCCCAGGTCATTGACCCGAAACGCATGTGTATCAGGTGCGATGCGGCGGCGAGGCAATCCCCTCAGGCGATTTTCATTCCCCTGTGGGACGCAGCAATGAAGAGATCTATGACCGGACACACCGAATAGCCACGGAGGGATCCCAATATATTCGGCAGCATCGCTCTATTACCTGTTTTCAAATTCAGCTCGGACCATGCAAGGCCCCCAGTGACGCAGTTGCGCGAGGCGAATGGGGTTCCTACGGGGCGGTCAGGCAAATTGGCGGGCACGGCGAAATACACGGGGAGCTGCCCAAGTGCCTCAGACCAGGAGGATTGGCGAGAGCGGTTGCTGGCCAGGCGTTAGATGCCAGTGTACCCGGCCTGGATGATCCGCACCTGCTCTCGGAGACTCACGCGCTCACCGCTCACCTTTGAGCCCCGCGTCTTCGAGAATCAGGACATTTGGACGCAGCGCGACGGCGCGCTGGCAACCGCGTGCCGCCGCTAATGGAGCGATATTCATCATCTTATTCGGCTAATTGTGTCGGGGACACAGCGCGCTCGGGCATCGTGGACGTTGGTCTATGACCGTCGCTACGCAGCGCTCAAGGTCTGCCCCGATTTCGACACGGCTTGCGTCAAATAGGTGATGCAACGACACGAGCTGCGTCGCATACCCAACGTGGACACTGGTGATGAGCTCGCTTCCAAAGAGAACAAGGACGCGCTATGCGCCCCGAAATCATGAGACGAAGGCTACCTTCTGCGCAGCAGAGATTGCCGTACTCGGATCGGAACGTTGAGTTGTCTCGCGCGCAGGGCAACCGTGCAGCGCGGAACCTTCATGTCCGAACCCGACGCAATTCGGCCGAATATTGTCTACAGTGACGTCGGTCTAGCCAAAAGGGATCGCTTGGACTACGTCCGCGACCCAGCGGCGAGGAGATGGACTGGCGTCGACACGGATAGCGCGCAAGCAAGGACGCACAATAAGTGGAAAGACGCCGACGTTGCGGGAATAACTGCCCGCAGAGATAACGCGTAGCAAGGCAGAACTGTTTTTTTTCCACAGCAGCATCATGACAGTCTTGGCCTGGTTGCCCACGTCCCCAGTGACGAGCTACCTGCACGCAGCATCCTAGGAGCTTGGCTCGGAGATGGGTCAAGTTCCAGAACAACCACCTCCATGCGCCTGCGACAGGGAAGGAAGCGGTACTTCACCCGAATGTATGGTGGCCGTGCATCAGCAGGAGGGTACTGAGCAAGGAATGCCAGGCCATCCTGAGCCCCTTTGACTGGGACTACACCCATCCAGCGCAGCGTCACTATGACGAATCAAGCGCTGGATGGTCTGAATGGTGTGTGGCGGCTCCAGGAGCAATGGAAGTCGAACCGCCCGGCCGTCTGAAGGCTGCCATCGAGAAGGAGATCGTGGACCACTCGCCACAGGGAGAGTTCCAGAAGGCCCCAATGCCGCAGGTCTGTGCAACGAGCACAGAGGCCCCAGCCGCTTATGTCGGATCCGGTGCATCTTCTCGCGCGTCATCTGCCGAGGGGGCTACGAGGCCGAATTCTGCGAAGCCTGAGGGCCGCGCCGCAGCGGCAAGGACGTCGGGCGACGCCGCGGGCACGGGCAAGGACAACCAGAGCAGCGGCCAGGGAGCAAAGAGGCCAAGCAGTCGCGATCCAGATGATCAACAGGAATCCATGCGGCGCCGAGCTGAGAACCCGACACAGTGGGACACGTCCTATAGCGCGGGGGCTGCTCCACACCTGCTGCGAGGCCACCTGCCGCCCGCGACTTCCGGCCGGGCGCCGCGCGGCGCCGCGCGGGGGGGGCCGGGATGCCCCGCCTTTGGCGCGCGTACTCCGACGCGGAGCAGCAGACTACGGCTTCCTCCCCTCCGTGGCATGGAGGTGCCACCGACTGACGGTCGTCGTGGCGCTGGGGCTCAGACAACTGGCATGATGACAGTTGGAGCCGGGACGATCACTGTTAGAGGTGAGTGGAAGAGAACGAGGGGGGAAACGCGGCTATGCCGAGAGTGCCCTTGAGAGACTCCCAATCGCGGTTCAAGTGCGTCCATGAGGGGTGCAGTGAGCCGCCGTAGCATGAAGGTGTCGCGCACCTGCGTCTGAGTGCATGGCGACCCAGACAGCGGGAGTGCTGTCTGCCGGGCGCTATGGTGCAGGAAGCTTGCATGAAAAAATCGGGACGTTCACAAATCGTTAACGTCCGCCCGCGCGAGTAGAGCTCGCCAGGCCAGCCGCGGGGGGAGTTGATTTAGACCCCCCCCCGTGCGCCTACGCAATGCACACTTACATGTCCGCAGCTGTGTGTTGGCTGCAGCAGAAGGCCCCGCCCGCCCGCGCGCGCCCGCCCGGCCGGCCGGGTCTTGTCGTCGTCGTGTCATTCGAAGCTTAGCGGACCTTATACACACATACAGCCATGGCAACAAGGAGTACATCACCAATCCACAAGATGAGCCTGAGCACGAGACTGTTACAGGAAGAGCATGAGGAACAAACGACAACAATATGAGCGTGAACACATTTTGCTTATCAGCTGGGCCATGAAAGCCCTTCTTTACGAGAAAATTGGCAAAATACTGCGCGGGCAGGCTCCGTCCGTCCGAGTCGAACGCCGCGCACTGCCTGCTCCCGGAGCCCGGGGGGGGGGGGGGGCGGGGACTCTTTGGGAGCCGGCGGCGATTCCGACACCGATTCCAACAATCTTGGCCAGGCCGAGTCCTCGGGCCGCAGTTCGGCGCACCCGCCATCCTGGTCGATCAATGACGGCGTTTTGACAGATCCTGGGCGCAGGATTTGCCTGGCCAGGGTCGGCGTAGGTGTTTATTGCTCGTCTCCTTCCAACGCGACCTCCTCTGCGTCCCCCTCCTCCTCCCTCTCCTCCTCCTCCTCCTCCTCCTCCTCCTCCTCCTCCTCCTCCTCCTCCTCCTCCTCCTCCTCCTCCTCCTCATCCTCATCCTCATCCTCATCCTCATCCTCCTCCTCCTCCTCATCCTCATCCTCATCCTTCTCCTCCTCATCCTCCTCCTCCTCCTCCTCGTCCTCCTCCTCGTTTTCCTCATAATGTTTATTTTTTTTTCGCCCCGTCTCGTATGTCCTCCTCCCCCGCCCAGCGGGCCCAAACTCTAAACGCAGTCAGAGTTGAGCTTGTTCGGCGCCGAACGGGCCCAGACACAGTGGCACTGAAGAGATAATGCCCCGGGGTGGGAGACGTATCGCGCCGTGCCTCTTGGCCTGCCTTGTCTCTATATCATTCCCTATGTTTTTCTTGTACCTGTCTGGCCTGCTGGTTCCCCTTCCACCTATATCCTTCCCCAGCGCATCTTCGGAGAATGGCATCCGCAGTTGGCGGGGCCCCTTCCAGCCAGCCGCACCCGCGGACGGCGGGCCCACCAGCCCCCCAGCGACAACGAAAGCGAGAGCAGGAGGGGGAGGGGGAAGGGGAGCAGAGGATTTTATATGAGGAGGGGGGAGACGTTGCAGGAAAGGGATATGTGGTACGAGGGGGCAACGAGGAGGAGGAGGAGGAGGAGGAGGAGGAGGAGGAAACTCTCAGTGGAGACCAAACGCCCGCAACCCGAAAGGAGGAGGTAGTCGCAGGAGGGCGAGGAAGAGGAGGAGGTGGCAGGAGGAGGTACGAGGACGAGGCCAGACTGGGGATGTGGCCTGAGAAGGGGAGGGGTGAGGAGACAGCAGCGTGACGAGGATACCCCCCCGAGAGGAGCTGGACCGGGAGGCGGCGCGCGACCCCGATCGTTCGCCCTCTGCAGGCTCGCTCGGCCAGCCGCGGCGGAGGGAACACGTCCTGGCCTCGTCGTCCCCTCTTCCGGGAGGGAGAGGGTGGGTGGGGGGCGGAGGAGGAGAGAGGAAGGGAGGGAGGATATGCTGGTGGAGAGAGGGAGGGGGGATGTGCTGGTGGAGAGAGGAGCACATGTTTTCCAATCGGCTTAAGCTCGTCAGGGAGCTTCCAGGAGATTTTGGGTGGTTCATCCGCCTCCTCCTCCCCTTTTGGTTCTTCCTACCCCCAGTCCTCCTTCATCATTGCGCATAGTATTGTCCTACGTATCCGCTTCCTCGTCCACATCCACAAACGGCGGTCAGGCGAGTTGTTCTGATCAGGGAAGTGTAGGAGCAAGTAGTGGAACACAGGGGTGCAGCCGTCAAACCGAAATTCTTGCCGCCGTTGCTGTTTCAAGCTTTGGCCAGTTGATCCTGAAATCTTCGTTGTAATTAGCGTGTTGGAGTTTTGGACGTCCTCGAGCCCATCCGTCCCCTGTAATCCTTGTAAGGGACGGCAACTTCGTCCCGCCTGGCCTTCCCCGAATCGCGTCGCACTTCAGGTAGTCCGTGCGCTCTGAGGGCGGCCATGGCGTCCGCTTGAGCAGTTTGCCACTTCTCCAGGGCTCCAGAGTCTGGCTCGCCCTGATCAGTCCACGCTTCGCCCTCCTCGGCCTCGCCCCTCCAGAGGCGGCCGAGCCGAGCCCCCGACGAGCGCGGCGGGGCGTCGCCCCTGCGTGCGCGGGCCGCGCGCTCCCGAAGAGGGCGTGCTCGACACCTCCGCGGCCACCGTGGCGGGGCCTGGGCCTCGCACGCTGCGAGGTGGGGCGCGCGGCTCCGCGGGAGCCGCGCGGCGGCCGCTGGGCCTCGGGCCCCTTCCCTCCTCCTCCTCCTCCTCCTCCTCCTCCTCCTCCTCCACCTCCTCCCTCCTCCTCCTCCTCCTCCTCCTCCTCCTCCTCCTCCTCCTCCTCCTCCTCCTCCTCCTCCTCCTCCTCCTCCTCCTCCTCCTCCTCCTCCTCCTCCTCCTCCCTCCTCCTCCTCCTCCTCCTCCTCCTCCTCCTCCTCCTCCTCCTCCTCCTCCTCCTCCTCCTCCTCCTCCTCCTCCTCCTCTTCTCCTCCTCCTCCTCCTCCTCCTCCTCCTCCCTCCTCCCTCCTGCTCCCTCCTGCTCCGGCGAGCACTGCCCGCCGGTGTGGGCGGCGCGCCCCCGCCTTTTCGGGGCGGGGGAAGGAGAGCGCGAGGCGCGCGGAGCGCGGCTGGAGCAGCCTCTGCAGCGGCGAGCCAGCCCGAGGCCTCGCGGCACAGCGCGCCGGCGGCGGGAGGCGTCGGGGGGGGGGGGGGGGGCACCCACCAAACCCCCCCAACCCAACCCGAAGGGTCAGATTACCCTCGATTTCTAGTGGGGGGGGGGTCCGGGAGCATCGAAAAAGCACGTGTGGAGCCCATACCCCCCCCCCCCAACCCGAAATTCGGGGGTCTTCGGGTTGGGTCGGGGTGGTCTGGCAGGTCGTCATGGGGGGGGGGGCGGGCACCCTGGGCGGGGCGCGGAGGCCAGGCTCTTCGGGGCCTCTGCTGCAGGAGGGTCCTCGCGCGCGCCGCCGGCGAGCCCTGCGGGCCGTCAGGGGCTCTCTGGGGGGGGGGCAGGGCATCTGCACGCTCGCCCCGCGGCAGCATGCGCTCGTCAGCGCAGGCGTCCAGGGGGGCGTCCTCTTCATAAGGCGAAAACCCACCCCCACCCCCAGTCCCGACGCCCATCCCCGAGCCGGCGATTCAGGGGGTCGAGACTGGGGGTGGGGGTGGGTTTTCTCCATTCCTGGACCCCGAAAACCCACCCCCACCCCCAGTCCCGACTCCTTGAATCGCGGGTTCGGGGATGGGGTCGGGACTGGGGGTGGGGGTGGGTTTTCGCCTTCTCATCTCTGTTGCTCATCGCTGGTGCCGCGGCTCTCGTCAACCGCTCGTGACTGCCAGTCTCGGCAGTGACTACCTCTCCTGTTTGCAACCAGCTAGCATTTTCTCACGCGCGCTCCGCCGCGGCGATCCGCGGGCCGCTGCCGACGCTCCACAGGCGGAAGCGGCGCGGTGGCCATCCCGATGTTGTATTGTTCGCGAGTCATCTCGCGCGTTTGCTGACCTCAGTCTGCTGACCTCAGGGAGGAGGAGGAGGGGTGATCTCCTGCTCGGAGTTTCGGGCGGCGCCGCGCGAGCAGACTTTAAATCAGAGCGCTGGCGGGTGCATTTTTCTTACCATCCAGGGGGGCCCTGTGGCGAGGAGGCACGGCGCAGGAGAGACCTGGGGCGGAAGCGAGCGGACGGGAGGGCAAGCCGGTGCACGGGCCAGCCAGACAGCGAGAGCACGGGGCACGGGGTGCGGAACGAAAACAGCTCAATCGCCCATTCTTCGCCGATCGGGGCACGGGTGCCCCAACCTGCCTGCGCCGGTCTATCGGCGATGCATCGCCGGTCTATCGGCGATGCACCGTCGGTTCCAGGTCACTGTGCCCCCCCCCTGTCGCCCCGCTGAGCCACAGCACCCCCTGCTCTGGCCCCTCTCAGCCCCCACCCGGAGCTGCCAGGGGCGAGGGCGAGGATGACGCTCCGGCCCACCCCGCTCCCCTGGCGCCGAGGCTCGCGCGTGCCTGCGCGCTCGCGCCCGCGGTCGCGGTCGCGGTCGCGCCAGCGGCGGCGCAGCCCGCGGAGGTGTTCCAGGCCGCCGCAAGCCTAGAGTTTCCACCCCTTTCCGCGGGGGGAGGAGAGGGGAGGGGTCCTGGAGGAGGTTCGCCTTCTGCGGGGTGCTGGGGCCCTTCCCGGGCCTCCTCCTCCTCCTCCTTCCTCCTCCTCCTCCTCCTCCTTCCTCCTCCTCCTCCTCCTCCTCCTCCTCAGCCTCATCCTCCTTCCTCCTCCTCCTCCTCCTCCTCGCTCCTCCCCCCCCTCCTCCTCGTCCTCCTCCTCCTCCTCTTCCCCCTCTGCCTCCTCCTCCTCCTCCTCCCTCCTCCGTGGCTCAGAACGAAAAGGTGGTCGTGGGTAGAGGCCCCAGCGTGCAGGGCCCGTTTCCGCCAGGACCTATCTCTTTCATGGCAACATGTCGCATGCGAGGAGACGCGGGGTGAAGAGGAGAAGGGAGCGGACGGGGCGCTCACGGGCCTCTTTCGCTGTTTGCACGGAGCGCTCACGGGCCCCAAGATTGGTGGCGAAGAGTCGAAGAGGCCACACATTGCAGCCATCATGTTCTTTGAGGCAAGGACCCTTTTTGGCATCGGAAGGGGCTTTGGGGTCCTTCCTGCTCTCTCCTACGGCGTCCCTGATGGCTCCTCGCGGATGTGGTCGCAGCTGAGGCCAGAAAGGGACTTCGTTCCTCAGTCACGGTTCTTTGCGGCAGCATTTCAATTGTAAATCTCCGAAGCCATTCGACCAGGATCGATCAGGAGTAGCCATTTACGCTGGCAGTACTCGGGGTGGATGCCGCCCGCCCTCTTGCCGTGGGGGAAGCCGCGCCAGGCCACAGGAGCGGGGGCGCCGCCGGCGCAGAACCAGGAGCGGGCTCCCTTTTTGTTCCCCCTCGGATGCATGAGGAGGGTGATGTTTACGCGAGGGCCAGGAGGCAGGCAGCTTGGGATGAAGGGGAACCAAGGCTATTTATCGGAAAGTGGAACATCTGCATTACCAGTGGCGTTTTTTGTTTTCGATCCCAAGACTTTTTGAGGGTCGGGGACGACGTCGGGGTGGTGTGGTGTATACGTTTCCTCCGTTTTCCAAGGGAAAGAACCAAACATGTATACACCAGGATCCCGTATGCACCAGGATCCGCGTTCCTGTGCGAATTTCGGCGCGGGGTCGGAAAAAGCGTCGGTGTGTAGAGTTCGTTTCCCTAATTTATTCCTCCCCCCCGACCTCATCAGATGCAGGAGGGAGGGGATGTCCACACGAGGGCCAGAAGGTAGGCAGTTTGAGATGAAGGGGATACAAAGGGGGGGTCGGGGGATGCAGGGGGTGGGAAGTATTTTCGCGCGAGCGCCAGGAGGAGGCGGGTGCAGGAGAGATAGGCGCTCAGAGATTTGCGTAGGACAGAATTCTGGAAGGAGGGGCGGTTTTGAGTTCCTTCTTGTCCTCCTCTCCCGCTCCCTTGCTGGTCGTTCTTCTTTCATCCTCCCACGCCTTCTCCTTCCGATCCTCCTCGTCCTCCTTTTTCGCGGTCCTCCTCCAAGTTCTTTCCCGCCCCAATAGCATTGCATCCTCCCAGGCACAGGCGCCGGTCAAGGCCAGCGCATCTGCGACATGTGCCTATCTTGCGTTTGTCCGTGATCACCGCGCCTGTCCACCTTGTTGATCTTTCTTTTATCGTCCACTCATCCTCTCCCTGGCCGTCCCCGTTTCTCTGTCCTACTCCTTTGGCGCGATGTCGCAGCTTCGAAAGCCAGAGGAAGTTATAGGCTGTGGGATGCATGTCTGCATGCACGTGGTGTTACTTCATGTGGGCTACCTGTCTGCAACCAGGTATACAGGCACACGTGCATTCTTTTGCCTTTTCCCGGAAGTTGCGTCGGACCAGGTTTCTCTTTTAGCTTGTTAGTTGTCCTCGGTGCTCAAAGTTCGCACAGGACCAGCGGATTCATGTGCGGCTGATTAAATGTTGAGGATGCCCCGAGCGATATGCTGGGTTTTGAAATTCTTATCATGAAGCACAAAATAAAGTAATCAGTTTCGTTTGTTGAGCATGTCTTTAGCGAAACGTTTGTTTTGCAGAAGGTGTCGAGGATTTCTCGAGCGAAACGCTTGTTTCGCCATATCTATCTGTATATATATACAGATATAGAGAGAGGTGTGTGTGTGTATATATACTATATATACATATATAGAGATATATACATACATGTGTATATATATATATATATATATATATATATGTGTGTGTATACGTATACACATATATACATATAACGGCGCACCGGGTCCGGGGGCCCGGGGCCGGGACCTCGACCGCAAATGTGGGCTCCGGGGGGCCCGGAGGCTCGTCGGGGCTTGCCGGAGGCCTCCCCGGTCAGACAAGACGGCCCCAGGAGCGCCCAAGACGGCCCAAGAAACTTCCAAGAGGCCTCCAAGAGGGCTCCGAGATGCTGAAGATGGCCTCCAGACGTCCAAGGACGCCCCCAAGAGGCCCCAAGAAGCCTCCAACATGCGTCCCAAGAGGGCCCCTAGACGCAAAAATTGGCCCATTCCCTTCGTAAAACGTACATTTTTCACAAAGTTGTCTTTTGGGCTTTCCGACGTTACAGGACGGCCCAAGAGGCGCCCAAGACCGCCCCAAGACGGCCCAAGAAGCTTCCAAGAGGGCCCCAGGACAGCCCAAGAGGGCCCCAAGACGGCCCAAGAGGCGCCCAAGATGGCCCAAGAGGGCCCCAAGACGGGCCCAAGAGGGGGCCCAGAGGGGGACCACGAACCGCAAGCTCGAGCCTTCCGCCCCAAGAGGCCGCCAGGAGGCCCCCAGGAGGCCCCTCAAGAGGCCCCAGGAGACCCCAGACGTCCAAGGACGCCCCCAAGAGGCCCCAAGAAGCCTCCAACATGCGTCCCAAGAGGGCCCCTAGACGCAAAAATTGGCCCATTCCCTTCGTAAAACGTACATTTTCAACAAAGTCGCCTTTTGGGCTTTCCGACGTTACAGGACGGCCCAAGAGGCGCCCAAGACCGCCCCAAGACGGCCCAAGAAGCTTCCAAGAGGGCCCCAGGACAGCCCAAGAGGGCCCCAAGACGGCCCAAGAGGCGCCCAAGATGGCCCAAGAGGGCCCCAAGACGGGCCCAAGAGGGGGCCCAGAGGGGGACCACGAACCGCAAGCTCGAGCCTTCCGCCCCAAGAGGCCGCCAGGAGGCCCCAAGGAGGCCCCTCAAGAGGCCCCAGGAGACCCCAGACGTCCAAGGACGCCCCCAAGACGCCCCAAGAAGCCTCCAACATGCGTCCCAAGAGGGCCCCTAGACGCAAAAATTGGCCCATTCCCTTCGTAAAACGTACATTTTCAACAAAGTCGCCTTTTGGGCTTTCCGACGTTACAGGACGGCCCAAGAGGCGCCCAAGACCGCCCCAAGACGGCCCAAGAAGCTTCCAAGAGGGCCCCAGGACAGCCCAAGAGGGCCCCAAGACGGCCCAAGAGGCGCCCAAGATGGCCCAAGAGGGCCCCAAGACGGGCCCAAGAGGGGGCCCAGAGGGGGACCACGAACCGCAAGCTCGAGCCTTCCGCCCCAAGAGGCCGCCAGGAGGCCCCAAGGAGGCCCCTCAAGAGGCCCCAGGAGACCCCCAAGAGGCCCAAAGGAGGCCCAAGGACAGCCCAAGAGGGCCCCAAGACGGCCCAAGAGGCGCCCAAGATGGCCCAAGAGGGCCCCAAGACGGGCCCAAGAGGGGGCCCAGAGGGGGACCACGAACCGCAAGCTCGAGCCTTCCGCCCCAAGAGGCCGCCAGGAGGCCCCCAGGAGGCCCCTCAAGAGGCCCCAGGAGACCCCAGACGTCCAAGGACGCCCCCACGACGCTTCGCGTCACCAATTTCTTCTCACAACGATTCCTGGGTCTGTGACTCGACAGAACCTAAGCGCGCGCGAAGCGCGCGCGTGGTTCTAGTATATATATATAAATATATATATAATATATATATTATATATTGTATATATATATATATATATATATTCCAATTATTATATTTTAATTGCCCGGGAACCCCCCACACCCACCCCCCTAAACCGGATCCCCCCCCCAGGGACGCCCTGGACACCCTTTCGGACGTTTCGGCGGCCCCCTGGACGCCCTTGGAAGAGGTCCGCTGGCCCTTCAGGTCCTCCCAGGGCGCCTTGCCGGGCCTTGCGAGCAGACTCAAGGCGATCAGAAGGGTCATCGGAGAGGCGCAAGAGAGACCCAAGACAGCACCAGAGCGCTCCAAGAGGAACCTCGATGGTCTGAAGACGGCCCAAGAGGCCCCCAAGACGCCCCAAGAGCCTGTTAAGAAAGCCCCGGAGAAGCAAACATCGTCCCACTCCTTCGGGAAAATGTGAAAGTTTGACATATCCGCTGTTTGCGATTTCGCAGCGTCCAAAGCGGCCCGATAGGCCCCCGATATCGCCCCAAGACGGCCCAAGAGGCCCCCCAGAGGCTTTGAGGACGGCCCAAGAGCCCCAAGACTGCCCCAGAGAGCCCCGAGACTGCCCGCGAGAAGCCCAAGATGCCCCCAGAAGGCTCCCAGGAGAGACCCACGAAAGCCATGGGAGATCCCCAAGAAGGCCATGGGCGGCCCCCGAGAGGGCCCTAGATGGCTTCAGAAAGCCTCTGGAGGGCCCCAGCTCCCCAAGACGGCCCAAGAGGGCCCCAGGACGGCCCAAAAGTGACCCCAAAACGCCCAGGCGGCGTTTTCCTACGAAGTACATTGAGCTGACCCGACGATTTTGGTTCCACGCTTGAGGTTCGAGGTTTCAGGTCCTCGATCGAGAGAGACAGGCAATGGATCTAGATTCGAAGTTCGACGATCGAAGATTTCCTGACTGCCTGGAGCCTTCCAGGCATTCAAGACGGCGACTTCTTCGGCGTGTCATGAGAACGCCCCTTACTTCCTCAAAGGACCTTCGCACTTGAACAAATCATCACTCCCCCAGCTCATGCGCACAAGCGTGCAAGCGCATCGGGCGAACGCAATGTCAGCAGGCACCAGGGATATCAGAAAGATGAGCCTGTCGCCCGTCCAGGCCTCGAGGTCCCTCTCGCTGAAGCAAGCGATGATGTATTGCTTTGCCGAGGAGGGTCCAGAACAAAGCGCACGGCGCGAAGCGCCAATGCAGTCTTGTGTACATTTATATATACACATATATATATATATACATATATATATACATATATATATACAAGTGGCACGTGTGTGCCCAGGCTCATACAACAAGCTGAAGGGGCGTTTGAAGCAGGAGTGACATGCAACAGCGAAGTCGCACTCGAGCGCAAGTGGGGTTGCCACACCTTGCGATGTGTGTACCAGGGCCCCCCAGGAAGCCTCAGGAGGCCCGACTTGGATACCAGAAGAGGCTCCAGGAGGCCCCAGGATTGTGAGTGTTGTGTGTGTGATGTGTGCTTTGTGTGGTGCGTGCTTTTTGTGTGTTGTCGGTGTTGTGTGTTTGTATGTTATGTTTGTCTAGCGTGTGATGTGTTGGGCGTGATTTGTGTCTCTGTGTGTGCATGTAGTTCTGAAGCCCCAGGAGGCCCCAGGAGGCCCCAGGCGGCCTCAGCAGGCCCAGGAGAACTCCAGGAGGCTCCGAGGCGGGGTCTGGGGTACCAGAAGGTCCAGAAAGCCCCAGGAGGCCCCAGGAGGTTCCAGGAGGCCCCCAGGAGGCTCCGAGGAGGGGTCTGGGGCTCGATTTTGGGAGGATGTCTCAGGCGAAACCGCCATTCTCTGAGAATCGGGGTCAAAATTATTGAAATTACCATGTGTTTTTGAAGGTTTTATGTTAAAATGTTGAAATTCCCATGTGTTTTTGGACCCTGACGTCACGATCTGCGTGAGGGGTGCCACCGATTTTCAGAATTTCGAGGATGTCCCGAGCGAAACGGCCAGAAACATCCAGAACGACGTGCGCATTAATCGCCTCTGAGCTCTACTCCCTCGGAGAGGTGCGTATGAGAATATACATATATATATATATATATATATATATATATATATATATATATACATGGATTGCCCCTTTTCCAGGGCTTTGGGAATTCAAAGGATGTTTCAGGCAAAACCTTTATTTTCACGTGCCCAGGCCACTCAGAGAGGTATCTAATATGGTGGCCCCGGGCTGGAACCGCATGCTTTCACGTGTCCAGGCCACCCAGCGGAGTACCTAACATTGGTGGCCCCGAGCTGGAGCCATGTACTGTTACGCGCCCAGGCCACCCAGAGGGGTATCTAGCACGGCTGCACCGAGCCGGAATTGGGTGTTTCTACGTGTGCGGGCCACCCGCGGGGTGGTCGTCTGGGCCCCCCCAGCGTGGGGGTCAACAAGAGCCAGAGAAAACCAATAAAGCGACAGCAAGTACGAAATAACTTCGCACAGTTTCTTCGGTGTGTGGCTTTCCAGTTTATCCCCAGGGTACCTACACATGGTGGTCCCGAGCTGGAACCACGTGTTTTCGCGTGTCCAGGCCACCCACAGAGGTATCAAGCATGGTGGCCCCGAGCTGGGAAAAATTGATTTCACGTGTCCAGCCCACCCTGGGAGGTATCTAACATGGTTGTCCCGAGCTGGAGCTGCGTGTTTTCACACGCCCGGGCCACCCAGAATGGATATCTGACATGGTGGCCCCGAGCTGGAACCACGTGTTTTTACGTGTCCAGGCCACCCAAGCGGGTATCGAATGAGGTGGTCCCGAGTTGGCACCACGTGTTTTTATGTGTCCAGGCCGCCAAGGGAGGGGTATCTGAGATGGTTGGTTCGTGCCCCTCGCTTGAGCCACGTGTTTACACATGTCCAGCCCCCAAGTTGGAACCACGTGCTTTCATGTGTCCAGGCCACCCAGAGGGATAACTATCTAACATGGTGGCATCGAGCTGGAACCACGTGTTTGCACTTGTCCAGGCCACCCTCGTGGATATCTAGCATGGTGATCCCCCACTTTGGAACCACGTGTCACGCGCGTCCAGGCCACCCAGGGCGGTATCTAACATGTTTGCCCCGAGCTGGAACCACGTGTATCCATCTGCCCAGGCCACCCAGGAGGGTTCTAACATGGTGGTCATGAGCTGCAGCGACGTTTTGTTTCGTGTAGAGGCCATCCTGCGCGGTACAGAACATTGCTGCCCCGAGCTGGAACCACGTGTTTGCACGACCGCATGTTAGATAGGTGCTTGGACAAGTGAAAACACGTGGGCTCCCAACATCGCAGAGCGGGACAACCGTGAACACGTGGGTTCTTAACGCCCCAGAGCGGGACGGCGTATGTCCCTCCCCCCATCGGCGCGTCCCTTGTCGTCCTCTGTTGCATTCCCTGGCTTGTCCCCTAGCGCTTTCCCTGCCCGTTTCGTGGCGTGTCCCTTGCCACGTCCCCTGACATGTCCCTTGGCGTATCTCCGAGTGCGCCCTTGGCACATTCCGTGGCGCGTCCGTGCGCCCTGAGCCCCGTGTCGTTTCGTCTCGTTTTTGAATTGAGTCGGGTCTTGAGCTTAAGCTGCATAAGCGTCCCACACGTTTCGACTGCAACCAGTTCTGGTCCAGCTATGCGTTCAGGCAGCTCGAGCTTAAGATCCAGATCAGTTCGGTCAGGATTCGGATGCCAATGGCGACTTGACCCACAACACGATCGAGCACAACGCACATCATTGCGGCATGACGCATCTTGTTTCAGCACAGCAAAGTACAACCCTTGGCACGGTACATTACGAACGATAGCTTCAGCACTGCAATTGTTTGTCGCCCAATCAGGTGTTTTGAGAACGTAACCATGCGTCGCGCTTCTTATTTGAATGGCCTCTGGCCAGTGCCGGCGATCCGAAGCGCTCCAGATGTTGGTGGTTGACACGACGACGACGGCGACGACGACGACGATGACGACCTTACGGCTATCGGGAGGAGGGAGGCGGGAGGCGGGAGGAGGGAGGCGGGAGGCGGGAGGAGGGGAGGGAGGAGGGAGGAGTGAGGAGGGAGGAGGGAGGAGGGAGAAGAGGGAGGATCGTGAGGAGGCGGAGGAGGAGGAGGAGGACGACGAGGAGGAGGAGGACGAGGCGAGAAGGAGGAGAAAGAGTAGCAGGAAGAGCAGGATGAGGATGGAAGAGGGGGAGGAGAACGATGAGAACGAGGATGAGGACGAGGAGGAGGACCAGGATAAGGACGATGATGATGATGATGATGGTGATGATCATGATGATGCTGATGATGATGATGATGATGATGATGATGATGATGATGATGATGATGACGACGAGGATGGTGATGCTGATGCTGCTGCTGATGATGATGATGATGGTGGTGGTGTTGATGATGATGCTGGTGGTGATGACGTTGGTGGTGTTGGTGCGGAGGAGGAGGAGGAGCAAGGAATAATAGGAGGATGATGACGAGGCTTAGCATCAGGATGATGATGATGCTGATGATGATGGTGATGATGCTAATGATGATGATGATGATGATGATGAGGATGATGATGATGATGCTGCTGATGCTGATGATGATGCTGCTGCTGATGATGATGATGATGACGATGATGATGATGATGATGATGATGATGATGATGATGATGATGATGATGATGATGATGATGATGATGATGATGATGATGATCAGGTGTCTTGAGAACGCAGCCATGTTTCGCGCTTCTTGATTTCCTTTCTGGGTTCGTTGGCCGATTTGTTTACACGGCCAAATCCAGGTTGACTTTTTGTGGTATATTTGAACGTGACCTCATAACACAATGCTTCGATCTATTGTTGCAGATGTGCGAAATTGTTCGGCAACGCAGGCATTCTACGCACACGAATCAGGGAAGAGCTAGATGTGGGGTGTGTTCCGAGTGCTCTGGGCCCCAGAGCACTCGGAACACCCCAGAGTCTGGGGTGAGCGGCGTATCCAGACAGGTCCAAAACACATCTGTTGGTGGTCGTTGCTTGCACCTGGTCTTAACTGCGTTGGTCAATGCCCTCTGAGTGATGGCTTGCAGTCCGTGCAATGCCATAGTCGTTCATACGTCCAGAGCCTCGTTCTGCGGCGGCAGATTGCCTGACCTCTTGGGCAATGTTGGGTTCATCCTGGGGGCCTCTCGGGCTAACTTGGGGCGGTCTCGGGCGCCGCTTGGGCCGTCTTGGGCGGTCGGACGCCCGAAGAGACGGAAACGCCAATATCTTTCAGAAGCCCACGCAAAATAAGTGTTTCTTGCCTCTTGTGGCCCTCTTGGGCGCCTCTTGGACCGTCTTAAAGCCAGTTTAGGATATCTTGGAGCGTTCTTGGCCTGAGGCCGTGGGACTGCTTGGCGACTTCCTTGGGCGCTCCTGGGGCGCTCTGAGGGCCGCCCAGGGCCGCACCCAGGAGTTCTGGCACACGTGACCCGAAGTCTGCCAGGGTATGCAGGGACCCCCAGGGGCCGCCACGCGCGCTCGAATCCGAAGCATTCTGAACCTGGTACCGAAGATGTTAGCACGCCTCTGGCGCGTTGGGCCGGCGACTTATCCTGCGCCCCCATCTTCCCGCAGACTCTTTCTCCGCCTTCTCAGTATTTGCTTCCATCTCCTTCTCTTTCTCCGTAGTCTCCCACTTTCCCCTCCCCCTTCTCCTTCCTTCTTCTCTCTCCCGAGTGATATTCCAATAGTCTTCCCCCCTTCTTGTCTGCTCATTATCCTGTGTCGTCTGCTATGTTCGTTTCCTCGTTCTCCTCCCCGTCCGTCTCCTCGTTCTCTCATTGTCGTCCATCCTTCGGCCTCCTCGCCCACCGCAGCATGCTCATCCTCCACCTCGCAACTCCTCAACATCGCATTCCTCCACTCCCTTCCCATCCGCAGTTCAAGTAGGAGGTCGACTACATAATGTTTTCACACCAAAAAGTGTCAGCTTCGTCGAGTATACGTATTCTTCGTGGGTTCGACGAAACATTTCTTAGGGGTAAGCCAATTTGTAGTCGATCTCTTCCTCCAGCAGTACCCAGAACCCTGTCCATGCCCACCCGCGGGGGGCGGGAGGTCTTTCGCCTCCCTCGCCCGGCGCCGCCGCCGCGGTTGCTCGCGTCGCCGGCGGCGGCGGCTCCCCGAGCAGTCGGACAGGTGGGGGGGGTGGGAATTCGGGGGACAGGGAGGATGGTAGGACCAGGCAAGGAGTCCGTGGTGGGTCTGGGATCGGGACGATCGAAATGGGTACGGAAAAAGTGGGAACAAAGACCGACAGCATTTCCTGTTCATGTTGGACAAGACTCGCTGTCGGTGTCGCCGCGGACGTCGTCCATTTGAGCCAGGAGGCTGCCTACCCAACAGCGGCTGCTGTTGTTTTTGGACACCATGTGTTGTTGGGCAGTGTACCCATTTTCTCCGTTCCCATTCCAGGCGTCCAACGGGTCCCAGTGAGGGACACAGGAATTGGGTACTCGACTCGGGAAAGGCGATCGCAATCTTTGTGCCAGCCGTAGTGAACGCTGGGCCCAGACACCTCCCGAATAAGGAAACGGTGCAGTCTGCCAGATGTTCACCTCGACTTCCTGTGCTGAACCATGCGCCTTGATCGAATAAGCTCGACCGCCCGAAATTCTTGACGCTTCTCGTATCGCCACCACCACAAACGATGCCCACGAGGAGGAGGACGAGGACGTAGACGAGGAGAAAGAGGAGGAGTACGAAGTCGCCAGCAATCGTCTTGGGGTCTTTTGGAGTCCGTCTTAGGGTCTTGGGACTCTCACGTGGCCCTCTTTGGGCCCTTCATGGGGCTTTTTGGGATTGTTTTGGGATCCTCTTGAAACTCCTGTGGGCCTCCAGAGGCCTCATGGGATAATCTTGGAGGTCATCGAGTGAACAATGGTGGCGTCCCTAATTTTTCGTCGCCCCTCGACCCCAAATCGCCTCTTGGGGTTCTCTTGGGAGCCCTTTTGGGGCTCTTTTGGGTGCTCTTCGGGCCGCCTTGGTCCTCTCATGGGGCTCTCGTGGGTCATCTTAGGGCCGCCTTGATGCTTCAACACCGCACCAGAAGCGAAAGGCGAGACGGCAAACATCATTGAGTGTCCTTCGGTTTGCTTTTGAAGGATGGTGGCCACTTGGGGGAGTCCTGAGGGGGCTCCGAGAGCACTCGGTGCGGTCTCGTACTCCTCTCGGGGCCTCTTGGAGGCATGTCGGAAGCCATCTTGAACCATCTTCGGCTATCCTGAGCTGTTTTGGAGGTTATCTTGGGGCAAAAAAAGGCCCCTTGACACATTGCGGGGCGGGCCCAACAAACTCAGGGAAGGGGGGGGACCCATCCCCGAAGGGAAGAGGGTGTTGGACGAGGGAGAATTGTGTTAGACTATCTACGCCAGAAGTGCTGGTGCGATTCTGCTATGTCCGTGCTGGCTGCGGTGTGGCGAGCAGCGCTGTCGCGTAGGAGGGTCCCCCCCCTGCTCGTGATTGGGCGGGCAGTCGTGACATGCTCACGACGTTGCGTGCCTGCGCTCGGGTGAGCGGCATGTTCGCCCATGCCACTTGCGACTGGGCCTTGCATGCGGCAGCTTAGTATCGCTGCGTGCTCCGCATGGCGGCCTTGCTGGCCTGGTCCATCTGGTGTTGCTCAGCCACCGTGAGACGGCGAGCTTGCCACAGCTGTTGCGATCACTCTCGTAACTAAGTCGGAATTCAAAAGGATGGATACGAAAATGCCAACTTGAACACGAGGTCGTGCGTTCATGCGGAGGCCATGCAAGGCCATGATGTTGCACGCGAGAGTTTGCTAATTGGATCGGGCAGCTACGCAGGCAGTGCACCTGTCTCTGCATGCAACCTCCCCACTCTTGTCTGCGCACGTTGCCATGTCACCGCAGCGTTTCACGGTGGACCTGTTACGACAAGGTCTGGTGCGTGTCCCCAGGACCGCGGACCCATTGTTGGGCCAACGCGGATCTAGTGTTCGTTTACGTGGGATCATGGGCTCACGATCGCTGCCCCAAATTTCTTGTTAATGGGTCGTGGCCCTGGGAGATCGGATCTGCAGTTACGTACAAGTGATCGTGGCCTGGGCATGGCGGATCCGCAGTGCATGTCCAAGGGATGGTGGCTTCGGGAGCGCGGGTCTATAGTTTTACAAGGGATTGTGGCCTGAGGAGCGCGGATCCTCATCTCTTCCCGCGGGATCGTGGCCTTGGAGCGCGGATCCACCGCCCTTTTTCGAGCGATGGTGGTCCAATGTTTTTTATGTGTAGCAACGCGCCAATCAGTTACGGACATGCGGTTCGGGGGAGACTCCAGAGGACATTCGAGCCCAGGGAGGCCGGGTGCGTTTTTGGAAGCTTAGAGTATCAACCCTTGGCAATGCGATCACTTCTGTGACCTGAGAATTACTAACTTGGAGGTCGCGATTGTCTTCCCAGATAATGCCGCAACGTTGTGCCTTGCCGAATGGCGCTGGTGAACATTAGGCTGCACAGATGTTGAACCTCATGCTTTGCAGCCTGTGGTTCCGCAAGGGGGGCTGGCGGACATGTATTCAGCTGCCTGGGGTAAGTTCTGTAAGCGTGCCAGCGTGTGGCGATGCTTCGAATACCACGTGAAGACCGTAACTTGTGACGCCCGTCGTCTCTATTCCTTGTCGGGACCTCAGGAGTCCTACATGGGTCGTCTTGGGCAATCTTTAGCCGAGAGATCCTGGACCCCAGCCCTACTTGATTCATATCCTAGGTATACATATATACATACGCACATATATGTATATATACATATACCTAGATATATACAAGTAGCACGTGTGTGCCCAGGCTCATTCCAAAGAAACACTGAAAGGGCGTTTGAAGCAGGAAGACACCATGATTGCAGGATCGGAAATGGAGAAGGGGAAGCTGGGGCGGCGCCGCCAGGGCGTGCCTAAGAGAAGGGGAGGAGGCAGGAGGTGAACGCAGAATAAAATAAGATCGAGGTCGCACTCGAGCGCAAGTGGGGTTGCCACACCTTGCGATGTGTGTACCAGGGCCCCCCCAGGAAACCTCAGGATGCCCGACTTGGATACCGGAAGAGGCTCCAGGAGGCCCCGGGATTGTGAGTGTTGTGTGTGTGATGTGTGCTCTGTGTTGTGCGTGTTTTCTGTGCGTTGTAGGTGTTGTGTGTGTAATGTTTGTCTAGCGTGTGATGCGTTGGGTGTGATTTGTGTCTCTGTGTGTGCATTTATTTCTGAGGCCCCAGGAGGCCCCAGGCGGCCTCAGGAGACCCCAGAAGACCCCAGGAGGCTCCAGGAGGCCCCAAGAGGCTCCAGGAGGCCGCAGGAGGCCCCAGGAGGTTCCAGGAGACCCCCAGGAGGCTCCGAGGCGGGGTCCGGGGTACCAGAAGGTACAGAACGCCCCAGGAGGCCCCAGGAGATTCCAGGGGGCTCCCAAGAGGCTCCGAGGCGGGGTCTGGGGTAGCAGAAGGTACGTCGGGGCTCGATTTTGGGAGGATGTCTCAGTCGAAATCGCCATTCTTTGAGAATCGGGGTCAAAATCATTGAAATTACAATGTGTTTTTGAAGGTTGCATGTTTGAATGTTGAAATTCCCATGTGTTTTTTTGGACCCTGACGTCACGATCTGCGTGAGGGGTGCCACCGATTTTCAGAAATTCGAGGATGTCCCTAGCGAAACGGCTAGAAACATCGCGAACGCCGCCTTCAATTGATCGGCTCTGAGCTCTACTCCCTCGGAGAGGTGCCTAGGAGAATATATATATATATATATATATATATATATATATATATATATATATATATATATATATATATATATATATATATATATGCCCTTAGGCCCCGGCGCCCAGGGCCTGGGCCTCGAGCGCGCACGGGAGGACCGGGGCCTCCGAGACCGCTCCCAGAGCACCCCGGAGGGGCCGCGGAGCCCCCAGACCGCCCCAGAGAGCCCCAAGACGCTCCCAGAAGCCCCCACCCACCAAACCACCCCAACCCAACCCGAAGGCTCAGATTTACCCTCGATTTCCAGTGGGGGGGGGGGGTCGGGAAGCATCGAAAAAACACGTGCGGAGCCCTTACCCCCCCAACCCGAAATTCGGGTCTTCGGGTTGGGTTGGGGTGGTCTGGTAGGTAGTCAAGAAGCCCCCGGGGGACTTCGACAAGCCCCTCCAAGACGGCCCAGATGGCCCCAACGTGGCCCCAGATGGGCCCAACTCGGCACATGGAGACTCTGAGAGGCCTCCAAGAGGCCTCAAGAGAGCTCCGAGAGGCGTCCCGAGAGAGTTCGAAGAGGCCCAAATCCATAATTTTCAATTGTTTTTCTATGTTTTTCGGTTTCTCGCGTTTTCGACCTCCCGACGCTCCAGGAAGGACGGCCGACGCGTCCCCCAAGACCGCCCCAAGGCCGCCGAAGAGGCCGCCAAGACCGCCCCAAAACCGCCGAAGAGGCCCCCCAAAATAGCCCCAAGACGGCCCCAGGGAGCCCGAAACTTGCCCAGGAGGAGCCACAGACGACCCAAGAGAGCCCCGGAACTGGGCCAAGCTGGGCCACAGAGCGGGAGTGGGAGGCCCGGGCCCCGAGCGCGCATGGAAGGACCGGGGCCTCCGAGACCGCTCCCGGAGCACACAGGAGCGGCCTTGGAGCAGCTTCCAGACTGCCCCAGAGAGCTCCCAGAAGCCTCCGGGGGACTTCGACGAGCCCCTCAAAGACAACCCAGATGGCCCTAACGTGGCCCAACATGGGCTCGAGACGGCAAATACGCAGCCCAAGAGGCCTCAAGAGAGCTCCGAGAGGCGTCCCGAGAGAGCCCGAAGAGGCCCAAATCCTTGATTGTCATGTTCCGGTTTCTCGCGTGTTCGACCTTCCGACGCTCCAAGAGGGCCGACGCGTCCCCCAAGACCGCCCCAAGACCGCCGAAGAACGAACGAACGAAGCGCCGTGCACGTCAGGGGTGCGTTGGCAAATAAGTGAAACAGCAAGTTCCGCTGCCGGAGGCGCGGCTGCGAATCAAGAAGACGCCGCGCAGACACCGACAGCGACGACGGCGGCGGCGAAGGGGGGGAGGACGACGAGGGGGAGGAGGACGAAGGCGAGGAGGAGGGCGGGACGGCCAGGAGCCCGAAAATTACCCAGGAGGAGCCAAAGACGGCCCAAGAAGATCCCCAGGACGGGCCGAAGCTGGGCCACAGAGCGGGAGCGGGATGCCCCAGGGCGCTCGAAGACGGCCCACATGGCTCGGGTTGTCCCACTTTCCTTCCCGCCCCCTCCCCTTGCCTCCATTCCCTCCTCTCTCTCCTCTTCCTCCCCATCAACCCTCAGCTTTCGTGCTCCTCCCTCCTCTCCTGGGACGGCCCCGCCAGAGCGCCAGACAGGCCCCGCCAGAGCGAGCGGGGCATCGCTGCACCGTAGAATTTCACAAATTGCTTTGCCTCTCCCACCCTTGAAGGGCGGCCCTGGCAGAGCGAGACGAGTGTTGCTATACCATATACAGTCCATGTTCTCTATTGCTCCTCCCACCCCGAGGTAGCCCCGTCAGAGCGCACGGGGTGTGACTATACCATAGTTTTCCAAAGGTTTCGTCCTCCTCCTTCCCCTCCTGAGCAAGCCCCGCCGGAGCGCCAGGGACCCCCCATAAGAGAGAGCAGGGCATCCCTACACCATACTATTTCATGCGAGTCTTGCTCCTCCCACCTTTGCAGGCCGGACCCGCCCGAGCGAGCGGGGTGTGGCTATACTATACAATTTCCCAGGTTCCGTGCCCCCCCTCACCTCCTGAAAGGCTTCGCCAGAGCGCCAAGAAGGTACCGCCAGAGGCCCCGTCAGAGCCCCAGGCAGCCCCATACATGGGATTTGCCAGGCAAATTATTGAGCATCCCCAGCGAGCCCGAACCTTCTGATCCCACGGGTGCGATTATCGCAGGCTTGAGGTTTGGCGCTCAGCACACAGAAGCTTGCCCAGTCCCCTGGACGGAGTCAACAACGGCTGATTGCAGAGAAGTGCCTTGATGACCGGGACATCTGCGCGCGCCCTCTGCAGGTACCCGACAGCTGAACGACCGGTGAAAACGAGAAGCTTGGAACACAAGGGAAAGGAAACAAAAACAACGCGTTCCCGCGCGAGCGCAACGAGGCCCCGAGCCAATCCCAACATCAAGGGTCGGCGGATGTTTGCGTGATCGGGCATGGGGAGACCGAGCAGGTGTGCAAACACAGTGAGTGTCACGACGGTGCAGAGCGGAAGTGAAAGTGGAGAAAAACGCAGCTCGATAAACCAAACAAAGGCGGCAGCGAGATTGTGATACGCGGGAACGTGGCGCCCCGCGTCGGCGCCCCGAGTTCTGACTATGCGTTTCTTTGCGTCGATGGCATTGGCCCGAGAACGCTGGAAATCGTCGTTGTCGCCACAACGGGGTTTACAGCGGCACCCGTGGCTCATCTGCGACTAGAGCGTAAACGCGCGCGTAGCGCGCGCGTGGCTTGTAAACACGGAAGCATTTCGGCATGCTTCGTGTTGATGTTGACCACCCGGAAGAAGTGACATGTTGATTTGTTGTGTTCGTGGGAACGGTGTCTCTCTGTCGCTTCCTAGCGTCCTCTGAAGGGGGCTTCGGGTGCGTATTTAGGGAATGTTGGACCACGTTGACGGTCATCCCCACATTCCCTGTTCGCAGAATGTTTGGGCGATCGGGTCAGATTTGGTAGGTCGCGTCGCAGTCGGCCACTACAGCGCTGCACTGCAATATGATGTCAGTTACGCGTTGTAACGATTCGTTCAGGTGCAAGGCATTGCCACGGCGCATGTGTATTGTTCGATTTTCGCGTGCACGACATGTGCTGTTATACGCTGCAAGACCATCCATGGGCGAAGTACACTTGCAATCCCAGCTTCCGTCTGCAATACATCCGAGATGCGTTCTCCGCGCGCAGTTCAATTGCAACGTGTTCGTAGTGTTGTAAGAACGCGGGATCGCGCCAATTTTGCAGCAGATGAGTCGTTGAGGCCGCCGAACACATTCCGAAATACTTGTGGGCCGGTTGCGTTATTTCTTCGCGTGTCCCGGTGCCGCTTTCAAGCATGTTATGCACCGAACGTCGGAAAGGCACAATGTCGCTTGCACCTGCCAACCAGATAGATCAGTGCCAGCTGATTTGTTACCTCCAGACCCGCCTCGCTGGACTCAACGTCGCGCGACTCAGAGGGTAAAGTCCAGAGGCGAACTTCCGCGCGTGGAATTCCGTGAATGACCTCAGCTGAGGCGCTGCGGTGCCATCCACCCGCGCCCCCGCATGTTCGGGCGCTGCCCAGCATGCGTGTCCGTCTGTCTGGCCCCTCGATCTGGCGAGAAACGGCACGGTGTAAACCGCCGCGCAGGCCTACCCCTGGAGCCTCACCGTTGCCCTCGACCCTGCCGGGAGGCTTGTCTTGCCAAATTAGGTTTGGTTTCCCAGTCGGCCGTCTGTGGGCACGCCGGTTAAGGTGGCGAGTCTCGACCCGACATCGCGGCCCCCAAAGCAAAGCCTGGGTCCGTAAGGGACATGGAAACGCCCACGCCACTGGCACACGACGGGGAGGAGGAGCATGAGAACAAGGAGGACGAGGGCGAATGGAAAGAAACCATGCTGCAATAATATAGGAAGGAAGGACACGAGGAGGAGGAGGAGGAGGAGGAGGAATCACAAAAGGAAGGCCGGAAAGGGCTAAAGCGAAGGAAATTTGGACATCGGTCGTTGCGAATTCTTGCCCAGCTGGGGATGCAGAGAATGCCATTCGAATAATGCCACGATTTTTCCGCCATCATTGACTAATCGGCTGTTGCGCAGATTTTGGAATCGTTGAGGTGTTCTGTCAGTTTACTGATAATGCGAGTGCCCCGCTTGGACGCGGGAAGAGACCAGGAATTGTTGAGTCCGCAAGTCGCGAGCAAGACAAGTCGGCCCGATACTATCGTTGGTGCGGTGCCCGAATGTTCTTGCGCATGGTGCGCAGTTTTCCAGACCTCCTGCAGGCTAGCAGAGCATCCAGCTGAGAAAACCCCGCTACCACGTCAGAGTGGTATTGAAACGTGCACACAAAGGTTCCGCCGAGTTCCCCCCAGGAGACGTTTGGGCCATCTTGGGCGCGACAGCTCTACCGAGCCCTGCCAAAGATGCTCGGTAGAGTCGTGTTGAGCTCGTCTGGGCAATAGCGCTACGATGCTGCACGGTGCCGTGGAGGAGGGGGGGGAGGGTGGCGGTGGGCAGCGCGCCGAGGCGGCACAGATCCCGGCAGAGGCGGCGGGACTCGCGCGAGCGGCCCCGCGGAGATTTGCGGAGGGCATCCTCGCCGGCCAGTCGCGGAGGGGACGGGAGCCGTCGGAGTGCCGGATAGAGTCGTATGTCTCTTTTGCACCTTGTCGCCATGAGCACCAGGTCGGCGATGCAAAGACGTTTGGCTTTGGCAGTCCAGGCAGCAAGGCTTGCACCACACAAAGCGTAGTCCCTTGCTGGCCCGAGTGGTGCGAATGACGCCAGGGGTATTGGGCGTAGTCCCCCGCAGGAACAGGTTAAGAGTAACGAGGCGTCCACGTGCACGCCGGTGCGGTCTCTCCGCGTGGCCCCCCCCAGTGCGGGACCTCCCTGTACGGCCCCCACGAACGGATCTCCCCAAGCAAACGCCCCCCTCCTCCTACCCCCGTGTGACGCACCCCCCCCTCCCATGTGGCCCATACTGCCCCACAAAAGCAACTCGCACCCATGTGTAAAGAAATCCAGTTCGGGCACCCTCACTCTGACCAACTTGGCTTGGTTTGGTGTAGAGTCCAGGCGGCTGCCACATGTTATTGTTCTTACTGTTATCTGTCGTCCTCCTCGGTTTGCATTGCGGGTATTTGTTCCTAGGCGGGTTCATGCTCGCGCTCTCTGCAATGATGTCCTCAATGGTTCTCTGTGAACATAGCGATCTCGTCCTCCGAGCGACCGTACAGTACACTATGTATATGCATGCGTACATGCATGCATATATATATATATACACAGACGTATCGATACATACATACGCATACTTGGTGATGCTCTTGCAGTATGGTTCGCCAGCGATGGCGAATATTCATATGAAGACCGTGTCAAGCACGAAAGGGATTACGTAATACTTTCTCTTTGAAAGCCTTGGGGCGAGTCGTCGATCAGTTGTTTTGCAAGTTCGGGAATGCAGGATGATGTAGAGGTTGAGATGAAGGAGGGAGAGGGATCGGAGTCATCGGGGGCTTGATAAGCATGATGACGGGCACGAGATTAGAAGACAGCCCAGATGCCGGGAGGACCACGACGTCGTACCAGGCGCTCTAGTGCCAGAAGTCCTTCTGAGTAGGCCTGGCTATTCGTTTTCTGCATGTCCTAGATCCAGGAAGGTGATGGACGAGGAGGAGGAAGAAGAAACGGAGGACGAGTAGGCACGGTATGAAGAGGACGAGGTGGAGAATCAGGAGGTGGAGGATCGGGAGGATCAGGAGGAGGATGGTTGCCGGAGGAGCAGGAGCAGAAGGAAGGTTGAGAGGGAAGTAGGGGCGGGTGCAGCAGAATGAGGAGAAGCAGGAGGAGCAGGAGGAGCAGGAAGAGCAGGAGCAGGAGCAGAGAGGAGCACGAAGAGGGCGGAGGGAGGGTTGCGGAGGGATGCGGGAAGGTACCGGGAGGGAGGGAGGGAGGGCAAAGGGAGGAAGGGAGGGAGGAGCAGTGGTGGCGAGGCGTCGACTCGGGGCTGCTCGCTAGCCGACCCAGGGAGGAAGCAAGCGCAGCACGCCGACGTGAGTCGTGGCCATGCCGCGACGCCGTCTGTTCGGCTCCAGCGGCGCGCTGGCTGTATCCACCCGCACCAGTCTTGGCCAGGAAGGTCTTGGGGCCAACAGGGTGATCCTGTGGGCCCACAAGATGGCCCCGTGGGCCCCCATGCGCTCCTTCCTGGCCCCTCCTCCTCCTGCCTGCCGATCCTCGGCACGAGGGAGGAGGAGCGACCAGGAAGGAGCGAATGGGGCGGGGCCGGGACGATCAAGTTGGAAGATGGGGAGGAGAGAGGGAAAGAGGGAGCGAGGAAGGGAGGGAGGAGGGAGGAGGGGGGATGCGGAGCGAGGGAGGGAGGAGGGAGGAGGAGGGAGGGAGGAGGGAGGAAGGGAGGGAGGAGGTAGGGGAGGAGGGAGGAGGGAGGGGGGAGGGAGGGAGGGAGGAGAGGAGAGAGGGAGCGAGGAAGGGAGGGAGGGAGGAGGGGTTGAGCGGGGCGGCGGAGCGCCGCCGAGGTCGCCCAGAAGGCGTCCCCTGTAGGGGACGGCGGGTGCGCCGGGGCGCCTCAGTTGTGAACTCGGAACTTGCCCGAAGTAGGAAGGTACTCCAGATTTCGTAATAAAAGGGAGGGGGTCTGGACCCTCCAAGACAAGCCATTTCAGACCTCCCCCGTGGGAGAACCCTCCAAAACATCGTCCCCAGACCCCCCAGGCCCTCCAAGATAGCCTGGAAGAGACCCCCCCCCCCCGAAATGAGACCCCCCTCCCTTTATTACGAAATCTGGAGTAGGGAGTCGGAGTGGGAAACTTGGACGCTGGAGTCGGAGGGCTGGTGTGGATTCGGAAAGCTGGCAGCCGGAGTCGAACAACTGGGAGCCGGAGTGGGAGAGACGGGCGTCGGAGTCGGAGAGTTGGGAGGTGGACTCGGAGAGATAGGAGTTGGGGTCGGAAAGTTGGGAGCCGGAGTCGGAAAGTTGGGAGCCGTAGTCGGAGAGGTGGGAGCCGGAGTCGGAGAGATTGGAGCTGGAGTCGGTTGGGAGTTAGAGTCGGAGAGATGGGAATTGGAGTCGGAGAGATGGGAACTAGAGGGAGGAGGGGGGGTGAGGACGAGGTTGATCCTGCCTTCCTATGTCCACCGATTGCGGGCCCAGGCCAGGCTTTGCTAGGATCGGTGTAAATGTAGGTAGAAAGTTGGTGGCGTCGCGATCGCAGCCAGGACGGTGTGAACTCTCCTGTGCCCCTCCGCCCCGCCTCTCAGCAGGCCGTTCGCGCGTTTCCCGTCATGTTCGTTTCTTTGACGCATGGCCATCTTTTGCAAGGAGTTTGCGCCGCAGGTCTGTTCCCTGCCTCCTCGTCCTCGCCCTCGCGTATTTCGCCGCTGACGCGGGACCGCGGGGTGGCAGAGGATCGTGAGAAGCCCCCTTGGAAAGCGCCCCATGAGCCCCCCACCCTCCTTTCCGCCCCCCCTCCCCCACCCCTCCTCCCCTCCCCCATACTGGCATCTCCCCTCAAGGCTTTCTCAAAATCTGAGCTACCAACCCCCTTTCTCGCCGGCGCCCCCTCCTCCCCGTCCCCCGTCCTGCTGCTGCACTCGCTGAGAGGAAGGCTCCTCACGCGAATTCAGTTCAAGGGCAGGCGGGGGAGCACAATTATTTTGCTTCGAGCGATCCCCACCGAAACCTTCGGCGTTTGATCCCGGTGTTGTTCGCGCCCATTGGGACGATGAGCGCGTGGCCTGGTGGTGTCGGCCAGTGCGGCGGTCTGACCAAGTCGCAAATACCGTTCTCCTGAAATCTAACGTCTCTTGTATCCGTGACGAAGGAAACTGACATAACCCTTGGGGCGAAAAACTAACCTCCGAAACGCGTGGTGCGAGACTTCAAAATACGACCTGAAATAATCCGTCGGAGGGAGAGGAGCACTAGCAGCAATAGCAGTAGCAACAGTAATCAGAGAAGCAGAGGCAGTCTGGCGTCGTCCAATAGGTCGTTGCTCCGCCTGTTTGGTCCAGTGGCCAGCCTGACCTCGGCGCGACACGTCGCATTTGATACAATTACAGTACGTTGTCATGCCGTTCCTCTTCAATTCAGGGTTCTGTGGTTCTATAGTATGCAATAAGGTTCGTCGGCACCGTGTTATAACATGATATGCTCTGTCAATGTATGTCATGATATGCGTTGCCCAGTGGTGTTGTTTACGTTGTGTGAATTCATTCCCGTATACGATGCCCTGCTATGTAATGGCATACCTCTCGAATTAAGGTATAGTATTTTGTTTTGCGTCGAGCCCATTGCCATAGGAGTATCAGTATTGAAGGATGGTGTGGTATGCTGGTTAAGTTGTGCTCTGCTCTCTGTTCATTACATTGTGCTATGTTTTGTTATCTTCTGCAAGATGGTAGAATCTAAGCTGTTGAGTACATTCACTGCCGTCGTGGTACCAAGGGTCAAGCAGCTCCGATGCGCTCTGTTATAACATGTGATGCTATACCCCACTATGCTCTGCTGTGTCATGGTATGCGTTGTTATTTTATGTTGTGCTAGATACGCTTATGCTTTGTTATGGTGAGCTCCGTCCTTTGTTGTGATGATGCATGGTGTTATGTGATACTCGGTATACTCAATGATGTCACTGTATGCGCTGCTATGGTTTGTCCTTTACTATGTCTTGTTCTGGGATGCTATGCAATGGTATGCGTTGTCATGTTATGGCGCTATGCTATAACCTGGTACGCTATGCTTTAATGCTTCATGTCGCGCTCTGCCATGCGGTGTGATTTGATGTTGTGATTTGGTGTTATATGTTCTGACATGGCATGTTATGTTATGGTCTGTCATGATATGCTATGGTATGCTTTGCCATGTGTTGTTATGAGGTGTGGTGCTGTGCTCAAGTCTGTATGTACTGGGTTGTCACAGCTTATGCTGGTATGCTGTGTCATGTTTATCTGTGTTGTAACATCTGATGTCGCGCGTTGTCATGTTATGATTTGTTATCTGTGATTCGACACTATCTGTCACGTAAGGTGTGCTGTGAATTTGCGTTGTGTTGCGATGGGTTATGTTATGGTATGCTATCGTATGCTCTATTATGAAATGTCATGTGATTCGGTGCTGTATTGTGATATGATATATACATATATATATATATAGATGTGTGCATATATATATAGATATGTGTATATATATATATATATATATATGAAATAGCGCGTTCTGTGATCGCTTTGAGGGGGGGGTGGAACCAGACTCCCCCCCCTCCCCTCCCCCTCCCTTGCTTCTCTTCTCTCCCTCTCCTCGGGCTGGCGCCTGCGTCGGCGGCGGCTGGCGGCGGCGGCGGGGACGACGACTTCCTTTTCTGGGCCGGCCCCGGCGCCTGCGGCGGCGGGCGGCGGCGGCGGGGAGCGTCGACGAGGACGACGGCGACGACGATGACGACGACGACGACGACGCTCCGCCACCGTGCTTTGGCTTTGGGTTTTGGGTCAGAGTCCTAATGGGTGCCTCTTGGGGTCTCGTCGTCGGATGGCTCTCGGGGGCCTCTGAAGGGCATTTGTGCAGCCTCCTGGGCGACTCTTGGGCGTCTCTTGGGGCCTCTGTGAGGTGGTGCTGATGCTGGTGCTGGTGCTGGGTTGTGGTGGTGGTAGGGGTGGTGGTGGTGGTTGTGGCGATGGTGGTGGTTGTGGTGGTGTGGTTGTTGGTGGTGGTGGTTGTTGTGGTGGTTGCAGTGGCAGGTGGTGGTGGTGGTTGTGATGGTGATGGTGGCGGTTGTGGTAGTGGTGGCGCGGTGGTTTTTGGTGGTGGTGGTCGTTGTGGTAGTGGTAGTTGTGGCGGTGGTGGGTTAAGGTGGTGGTGGCTGTTGCGCTGGTGGTGTGCTGTTTTTTCGTGGTGGTTGTGGTGGTGGTAATGGTTGTGGTGGTGGTGGTGCCGGTGGTGGTGATTGTGGTGGTTGTGGTGGTTTGATGCGGTGGTGGTGGTTGTGGTAGTGGTTGGTGGTGGTGGTGGTGATGGTGTGGTGGTTTGTGGTAGTGATGGTGGTGGTGGGTTGTGGTAGTGGTGGTGGCGGTGGTGGTGGTTGTGGTGGTGCTGGTGTGGTGGTTTGTTGTGGTGGTGGTGGTGGTGATTATGGTGATGGGAGGTGGTGGTGGTGGTGGCTTGGTGACGGTGTGGTGGTGGTTTGTGGTGGTAGTGGTGGTGGTGGGTTGTGGTGGTGGTGGTTTGGTGGCGGTGTGGTGGTATTTTGTGGTTGTGGTGATGGATGTGGTTTGTGGGGGTGGTGGTGGTGGTGGTTTTGCTGGAGGTGGTGGTGGTGTGGTGGTTGGTGGTGGAAGGTGGACAGACTGATTTGCAGCCGTGGGGAGTTCAAATGTTCAGGCGTTGCTGTTTTAATTCGTCAACGATGGGTGCCAGCAGCTCATGGCTACAATCGGATTTCTGATAGTACTCTGTATGTGGACCTTGCTGTTTCCAATTGGTCGTACTGGCCGTTTGCAAGATACATGCCCCATGCTGGGTATGACTGACATATTTTGAAGGTTGTTGGGGTTGCTGTCTGCGACGCTCATCGCCATGGGATGAGATGCCTTTTGGGGGGTGGC